GGCTCGGCACATGCTCCCCTTCTGCCAGAAACGCAGGCAGATGGGGAGAAGTGATCTGGGGCTGAGCCCAGTTGTCAGGCACTTGAAGAGCAAGCTTCTCGTCGCATTGAAGCAGCTCTCGTGGCAGAGAAATGGCACCTCCCTACGGATTGTACCTTCTACGGTCTTATTCCTTTACTGGTCATTCGGTGTCACTTATTCAACAGGTATTTATGAAGCCCCTCGCTTGAGCCGTGCTCTACGCTGGGGCAGGTTTACGATGGTAAAATGTCAAACTGACACTTGTCGAGGCCTTCTGTTCTTGCTTCGGCTTAAGCACTCTGTCTTCTCCTCCTAGAAAGGGACAATCATTTGCCGTCTTCTTCATAAAAAGTCCTCAGGTGACACAGGTAGCAACTGTCACTTCTTAGTTTTTTGCAGCATTGGATTTGCTAGGTATATTTTAAGAACATGATATAAAATAAAAACGTAAACCAAAACAGCACAAAAATCCCACATGCTTGATACCTGCATGTAGGTCTACAGAGGGGAAAGGGAAACCTCATATGCATTTTTCTTCCCCACACGGGAAGTGTTGAAAGATATTATTCATTCTATAAATATTTTTTGAGTTCCTACTATGTGCCTGATTGGATTAGGTGCTGAAAGTGTAGTGGTGGATAACACTGTGCTTGGAGCTTAAATTCTGCTGAGGACCATGTAAGAAACATGCACAAATGAATTGTGGGGAGAGGGTAAGTGGGAGGGTCACTCAGTTGGGCAAAAAGCCTTCTTCTAGGAGGCGACAGCAAATGCTGAATCTGGCTCCCACGATGAAAATTTTTCCAGATAGTCATTGAGTTAATATTCTCCCATTTGCTGCTGAATTTTGTTTTCTTACTTGATTATATAGTGTTGTTATTTGGTTCAGATAAACTAGACCTTAAAGCAAACAAACACAAGTGAACAACACCTGGCTTTGTTACAATGCTATGAAAAAGGAGTCCTGAAAAAGCAAATGTTCTTTTATTGTAAATATTGGAAAAAAGATGATAGTAATTGGATGATTCTTTAGTGCAGAGCATTAATTTTTACTATAATATTTTCAATTCCTTTAGATCAGTGATACTTAATATAAATATAAATGTTATTTGGGGTCATGGATTCTTTTGAGAGTCTAATTAATACTATGGTCCCTCTCTCTAGGAAAATGCATGTCCATAGGAACTAGAGGGTACAATTTCAGGAGAGGTTCACACATTTTCTTTCTGAAGTCACAAATTATTTACATTATTATAAAACATAAAACCCTGTTAGATATCAAAATGTATTTTAAAGCTGCAATAATTAGTGAGTGTGTTTCTGGTACAAAAATTCAACGAAACAGAATACAAATGAAGAAAGTCTCCAGTGTACTTCGTATACTAAAGACATCTCAAATCAGTGGGGGAAAGTTGAATTTTTATAATGATGTGGTGAAAATAATTATGTGAAAAGAAATTTTGAGATTACTACCTCCAACCACGCACCAGGAAAAACAAAAACACTGTGCTGGGTTAAAGATTTAAGTGTGAAAACTAAAACTATTAAAGAATTAGAATACCAAAACTATAGGTGAATATTTTTTTTATCACTGGGCGGGAAAAATCTTTCCAAGCAGAAATCACAAGGAAAATAGTAACATGTATAACCAAATGTGTATTTTGAAGTTTATAACAGCAAAACAAAAACAATACCTTCCTCCATAAAGGCCAACTTAAAAAAATTGTAATGTAATTAACAAAAAAGTCTTCAACTCATAAACAAACTTTTACTTATCTTTATATAAAAGATGAAATTACCAGATAAAAATGGGCAAGAAATGTGAACACAATAACTTGGTTTTAAAGCAAGAGCTCAGCAGATGTATTGATTAAACGAATAAACTGAAAGGCAATACACAGAATATAAATGGCCAATAAACATATAAAAAGTATGTGATTATATGCCTAAGTTCCAAATGAATATCAAAACAAAATAGAATTTTTGCCCATCAAATTGGCCAAGATAAAACAAAAATCTGGAAATAGCTGTGTGTTGGTTAAGCGTATGGGGATATAAATAATTATACAGTTCTGAGTGTAAACTCGTACTTTCTTAAAGGAATATTTGGCATTGCAGGTCAAGCACTTTAATAATATTGATATCGTTGTAATTAACCCAGTTATTAATTAACAGGAAAAGAGCAAAGGGGAGGCCAGATAATATGGGCATGCCATTGGTTCCAGAAAGCTGCAGTTTAACACTCTCCAGGTCTGTTCCCTGCAGATCCTGGGGAAAGGGACTGACAAAGAAAGGACAGACACACGCCCAGTGAAGTCTAACCCACTAGAGAGAGTGTTTGCCTGTGAGTCAGACCTGGAACAGGGCGTGGGCCAGAATAGGCACGGCCACTACCGGGCACGAAATTGAAATACAGAAGCTCCTGAACAAAGGGAGCCCTCTCTTGGCTCTCTGGCTCCCTCGGGACTCTCGTTGCGGGGGTGGGCTCTCAGCTCTGCACCCCCCGCATGGCCCACAGCCACGTGGACCCCACGCCCAGGGGACTATGGACGAATGGGCTCGGCTCCCTGCGGAAGGGCAGCTCTGGGCACTGGCTTTGCTTCCAGCTCTGCTGAAGCCCCAGCTGCACATTTTCCAGGCCCGGGTTAAGGGAAATGGGACTTTGGAAACCGAGGGATAGAATTCCACACAAACAAAGCTTCCTGCCCCATCACATCCTCCCGTGGGGGCCTCCGGAAATGCTTATTGCAGCTGCACCCCAAGAACCCCACTCCCACTAGCATCGGAGAAATTTCACCCGCACAATTCTCTCCAATGACAAACATGAGGCAGCATTTGCAACTTTGAAGCTCCGTTTAGTAGAAGTACCTCCAACCTTCCATAGTAACAACAACAACAACACAAATCCTTTGTTTTTCTGGAACGTTTCAAAGTGTGAGAACTCCGCAGAGCAAGGGGAGGAACAGCCTTCCTTCCCTGTCTTTGGATCGGATAAAACGCCCTACCCCGGGGCACTAGCGCTCAGAGTCTCTGTTCCTAAGCTGGAAGGTGCAGAGGCCTTGCCTCTCTTCCCCCTTCCTCTTCTCTTCCATTTTTAACTGCATTGCTGGTGGCATGTTTTACCATTGGTTGTAATTATCTGCAACCCCCTCCACCAACATTATCCAGCCCCCCATTAAACTCGGGAAGGGCCGTGTAATTTGCCAGCCACACAGGGGGCGTGACGTGCAGGACACCTGAGCAGAATCTTCCAGCTGGAGCGTCGGCGGAGCCTGTCGTCCCTCTGCCCTGAGCCCGGCCGCGCTCCTGACACGGCTGCTGGGCCAGGTGTGGTCACCTGGAGCGCAGTCATAGCTAACTCGGTGGATATATATAGTATGCGTGGGAAAAACACATCTGTGGAGAACTTCAAAGGGCACAGAGAGTTCGTCCCCGCAGCATAGCCCAGCTAGATGGCTTTGAGCTGAATTCAAATGTTAGCTGTGCCAGCGACTGGCTGGGTTCAAGTCTGAGTCTGCTCTTACTATGGAATATTGGCTTTAGTTTCTATAAAATGGGATTACTGATGGGATCCAGCTCTTAGGGACATTATGGAGATTAAATGGCTTAAAAGGGCTAAATGAGTTATTTATAGAGGGGTTAGAATAGTGCCTAGCAAGTGTCAATAACTGTATTAGTGTTTGTTAAATAAATTCATGTGTGTGCTTGTGTGTATATGTGTGTAGGAAAGTGTACAAGAAATATGAACAGTAATTTAAAAGTTTTTTCCTCTTTTTGTTTAGCTACATCTAGTTTTTCTTCAATGGACATGCGTTTCTGGTGTAAATTTTTAAAAACCTATTAAAAAATCCTTAAGTTCTTTTCACTGAGACTTTGTTAAAAGGTAATTTAAAAATGTATTGCCTTCTTTATTATGATTTCATTATATCACTTCCACGGGAACATATCTGTAATTTTATTATAAAAGTCAATAGAAAAACAAGTATCAGTCTATGGAAGTTCTATTAATGGCGATTTTCTTGAACCAAGGAGTAGGAAACACCTGTAGCCAAAATCTTGAGAATGAGATGAAGTGTTTAATTACTATTATTCATGTTATTTAGTATGTGCGCTCTGAAAACATCTTGATTTCTAATATTAAACTTTGTCTCCCTAAATAAGATCAAGCTGTTTAGTCATTAATAATTATACCCCTGCTTCTCTGAGCCAGGCTCGAAAGCCAATGAGAGATGAGCTCTGGCTTCCAATATTACCACCTCGGGGAAGACAGACCGGTGAGGAGCAGCTTTGCTTTGGATGGACCAGGGCAGGGGCGAGACCGGGTCATTTGCTTGGATTGTCGTCATTGCAACAATCTTTTTGCTGCATCCATCACCTTTTACCCTGCCTGCTGAGAAAAAGCCTTGCAAGGATTTACACAGAAAAATCATGATCCAAGAGCAATCATTAGCACCTAGCTACAGCCATCACAGCTGGAGATTCCATGCCTGAGAACAAGGGTGGGATGCGAGTGGGGCCACTTCCTTTTTTATCCTCTATGTGCATCATATGGGTGTGGTGGGGGCCTGGGGGGTGGCTCTTTGAGTCACCTGGGAGGACGCAGAAGACTCCTCTGATGGTGCGCGTCCTATAACAGGTACTCCAGGGAGGTCAGGAAAGGCTCCCCCTAGGAGGCAAAGTCTAAGAACTAAAGATTGAATGAGATTAAGCGAGTGGGAAGGGGTACGAGGAGGCTTATTCTGGGGAGTGGGAACAGTATGTAAAAGCTCAGAGTAATAGCGTTGAAACTATCAAACAATAATAATTAAAACAAAGTATCTACACTGAAAATTATAACACTCCTGAGAGTAATTAAAGAACTAAATAAATACATGGTAAGATATATTATGTTCATGGATTTTAAGACTCAATATTGTTACATTTACTAAATGTAAAAAGCTAGAACCATAGTTTCTATAACAGGAAGAATCGTCATAACCTTCGAGGACGTAAAGATTTATTAAAGGGGACACGCGAAATATTTGATTATAAAAAAGATATGTTCGGCTTTATAAAAATTAAAACATTTGTTAGGAAAATGAGTAGCTAAGTCACAGACTGGGAAAAATATTCTCAATACATATATCTGACAAGGACTCATACCCGGAACATATAAAGAACACTTATAAATCAACAATAAAAACCCAGTTGGCCTGATTTTACAAATGAGCAAAAGACTTGAATAGACACTTGACAAATGATTCTTAACATCTCTGGTCATCAGAGAAATGAAAACTGAAACCAGGATGGGACACTTTTCACACCCACCAGAATGGTTAAAATAGAAAAGACTGACAGTATCCAATGTTGGAAAGGACGTGGAGAACTAGAACTTTCTTATATTGCTGGTGGGAATATAAAATGGTAAAACCACTTTGGAAAATTGTTTGGCAACTGACATTCATTTAACGACCCAGCAGTTCCACCACTAGGTATTTATTCAAGAGAAATAAAAACACATATCCACAAGAAGACTTGTACAAGAACATTCATAGGCTTCATTCATAATATCCTCAAACTGGAGACAATCCAAATAAATACCTGCAGGAGAATGGACAAACACATTTAGATATGTTTATGTGATGGGATACCATGTAGGTATAAGAAGAAACTATTGATATACATAACAATGTGAATATTTTTCAAAAAATACTGTTGGGCAAAAGGAGCCAAACACAAAAGACTACATACTCAATGACTTGATTTATTTGAAGGACAAAAATAGACCAAACAAATGTAGGGTGATAGAAATCAGAGAGCGGTTGCCTTTGGGGCGAAGGATATTGAACTGAAAGGAACATGAGGGAACTTTCTTGGCTGATGGAAATATTCAGTATCTTATTTCTGGTGGTGGTTGCATGGGTGTATATAGTTGTCCAAACCTCTCAAAGTGAACACTTAAAATCTGTTATTTTATTATCTGTAAATTATTCCTTAATTTTTAAAAAACCCAGAATAAAAGCATAGTGCGTTTATTGGGGCAAATGACTAAAATACTCAGGGCTGATGATTAATTCTTTTCTCATCTTTTATCCCAAAAAACAAGCGTTCACCCTCCTCCCATATTATTCCTGTATTTTAACCCACAGTGATGAAAGAATTATTTATTAAAATCCTTTCTCCTCATGGTACGTTATACAGGTTGAAATCATCAAAATTGATTAAATAAGCCTTATCTGAAATGGAATAGCCTAGGACTTGTGAAAAAAAAAAAAAAAAAAGCAGATCATGAAAAAGGATATGCCCTTTGTCCTTAAAAACTCTGGCTGGTGGAATAAGAATTTGGGTAGAGATCACTTCAAATAAGCTTATATATTCTGTACTCCTCCCACCTCCGATTTATACTCAATAAGTTATACCCCCCAATATGAGTGATATCTGAAAAACAAATCCTGTGACCATACATTGTAATATGATATAAAGAAAACTAATTCACTAATCTTTCTCTTCTGCCTTATTTCTATCTATAGGCAAGGCATTGTATCTATTGCAACTCATTATGAATCCTTAGAAGAAACTGGGCCAGAGTCTTGAAAATAATGGATCCTCAATAATTATTTAATCAACATATTTACTGGTTAGTTAGAATTTATGTCCAAATTACATGTGCCCATAATGGAAAATATACTGCAATTATTTTATAATGTCTTCATATAAAATGTTTGAACCGGAGATGATCTCATTAGGTGATTTATGGGAAGTATATTTAAACGGAGTATATGATATAATGTATAAGTCCAACTCACCCCAGCTTAAAAGTTTAATCACACTGTAATTACCTGACAAGATTTTTTTAAAAATTATATATAAAGTACTGTTGTTAGAAATATAAAACAAACAAACCCCACTGAGTCTAGCTTTGGTCTCCACTCAAGTATCTAAATACTTATAAAGACTGCAAGTACATTGTTTTGAATTGAACACCATGTTGGCCAGATCAGAGAAGCTGTGAACTGAGAAGGAAATTGTTATTCCAGTGATGGAGCCTCAACTAGAGAGTCTTATTCTGCTGGCAGCTGAGGCTTCAGGGGATTCTCACTATAAAAACCAGTGGTCTTTTAATCACACATTATAAAAGCATTTGCGATGCTTTGCAGGCAGCCTTTCTTCAAAGATTTTCCCGCCGCTTTCCTTCCTGAGCACAATAGGTTCAAGATGGCTAATGCTGTCTCCTAGTTGTGCCAAGAACCTCCCGAATGCCACTGAGCTTTCATCATGAAGACAAATGGCAAAACATCAAATGGGAATATCTCATTCTAAACGGGGACTCCCACGATCATGTTATTTTTGGGAGAGCAGCTCTCTGGCTCCATGGATATCACTTGAACGGAGTAGCCGCGTTCTTCTGCAGCTCTTGCTCGGTCCAGATCCACCAGGCACATGCACTGTTTTCCTGAAATACAGTCAACGGTATGAGACACCCTTCAGCTAACAGTGTCATTTCAATTCGCTTAAGAGACTCTATACAGTGACGACGTCTATAGGTATATGGAGATTCTGTTTGCCCCCAAGTCCTCTTTAGTCTCTTTCAATTTAATTCTTGATCAGTATGGAGAGAAAACAATCACAGATATATAATATCTCAAGGATTTGTTTCTGCTAGTAATTTAAAGTATGTTAACCTTCTAAAATGTATTTATAAATAAATCTCAAATAACAACTACAGATTCTATTCTCACTTTGGTTAAAAAATCTATGTAAAGTCCTTTTTTCTTCATGCCCTATGAAAACACATTATCTGTAATATTGTGAAAAAATAATATCTGTCTTTAAGAATACCTAAAATGACATGTAAACAGAGGGCCATCTGAAAGAATACTGCCTTTCGCACCTGGAGATTTTTAGGACAATAAAGAAATAGAAGACATTTGTGAAAATTCTCAACTGTGTGCTATTATTTCAAATAGATGTGTAATATAGAGTGTAATATAATCTTAATTTTCAGACTCCTGTCCCCATATGAAATAGTGGTATTTGAGCTTCTTTGTAATCTTTGGAAAACAAAAGGAAACCTGACTAGCAAGCCAAGCAGTTAATTTGTGTTCATTTGGCAAACTTCTGTTTCAAAAGTAGCTCAGGAAAAAAATGATTTGGGCTTGAATATATTCAAAGTTATGGCTTTTACACTTTAAATTTCTTTAAATTCAATATACAAACTTCTTCATACTCTTGGAAAAAGGTAACTGAGGCCCAGCCGGTGTGGCTCAGCGGTTGAGCATCGACCCATGATCCAGGAGAACCAGGTTGGATTCCCTGTCAGGGCACATGCCTGGGTTTTGGGCTCCATCCCCAGCAGGGGGCGTACAAGAGGCAGCAGATCAATGACTCTCATCACTCATGTTTCTCTCTCTCTCCCTCTCCCTTCCTCTCTCTGAAATCAATAAAACATATACCTTTTTTTAAAAAGGTAACTGACTCCATAGAACTTTATTCATTCCATTTTTCCTCAATAATTATAATAATCCCTAAGCATTATTTCTAAATGATTTATTTAAATGATAGCAGAAACTGTTAAACATACACAGCTTCCGATGTGAAGACAGAAAACTAAAATAGAGAAATTCTCCTCCAAAGACAGAAGAATCCTCACAGGTAAACAGTGGAAGTTGAAATCAGCAGGTAAGAAATCGGCAACGAAAGATTCAGATTTAAAATATTTTGTATATTTTCCTTAAAAGGCTCATGCCAAAAAAGATGAACTGTGTTGAGTGATACAAAAAAAAGATGTCTAGAATTCCATTTAGGCTAAATCACCCCCTCTTCATCAACAGCCATATGGCTAACATTTTTTCCCCCTTAAACTATCGTTCCTCCTTTAAGACATCTGCAAGCCCCCTCCTCCCCCCAATCTACTTTTTGATTTAAATGAAACATTCTCTGTCAGATGGGATGCTCCACATTCCTTCGGTACCCACCCTGGGTTTACCCCGCAGCTCCTCTAATCTTGGCTTAGATCCCAGTCCAGTCAAAACTTTTCCTTTTCTATTACCTAGAAGACTCTCTTGGATTCACATGTTGAAGCAGTATCTTTACAACTAAAACCCAGTTGTGGGACGTCTGCCTTTTGGGGCCTCGGAAGCTTCCTAAAATGTTCACAGAACAAAAGTATGACCTGTGCAAAATATAGATGGAGACACGTGATGGAGTCTGACTTTGAAACCTGACTTTCCCTCCCTTCATGCCAGTGATCCCGAGAAACACTTCTTGTCCTCAACTAGCCAGGTCCCTTCCAGCCACTCCCTTCTGGTGTAACGCCGGGAACATCAGCCATGTACACCCCCATGCTCCACACCAACGTGCCTTCACCGAGTCAGGTGAGGTTAAATGCTAAACTCTGCCTCAATATATGTGTTTGACTGTACATCAAACGTACAGTCAACTAACTCAGTGTTGGAGAAGGGAAAAGACGGAGGAATAGGGGGGGAGAGAGGGAGGGAGGGAGAGACACAGACAGGGGGAGGGGGAAGAGAGGGAGGGATGGAGGGAAGAAGGGGGAGAGAGAGAGGGGGAGGGAGAGAAAGA